CTGTGAACCACAAAATTGGCAGTTCAAACCCATCAGCTGCTCCTCAGAGACCCTATACAGGGTCACTATGAGTCGGAACCAACTCAAAGCCCTTAACAACAACATGTAGATAGATAGATAGATAGATAGAGAGAGAGAGAGAGAAAGAAAGAGAGAGTGTCCTGGTGTGGCGCTGTGAGTTAATGTATTGGACTGCAAGGTTAGTTTGAACCATAAGGTCAGCGGCTCAAGCTCACCAGCTGCTCCTCAGAAACCCTATACAGGACTGTTATAGGTCAGAATCAACTTGACAGCACTTGACAACAACAATACCACCTCTTAGGGATCTGTCCAAGAGACCTGAGCTAGTCACCCCTTTTCTGACCTAGTCAGTCATCTACTTGATATTTGCTAAATTTCATTCCACCTTAGGGTATAGGAACTAGTATGCAGGACAGAGCTGCTTTACGAGCCTGTGACTTCTTATGTGCCTTTCTTGTTTCTCAGCAACACTGGCATGGAGCCCAGGGTACCAGGTGTGAGGATTTCAAGGATCATAGCAATTTAAGACACCTGTGTTTCCAGGGCCTGGTGTGTTCTCCTCATGCCAGAAAGATGTTTCATGCTTTGCTGACTTTGTATAAAGTCTCTTTGTAGCTGTTTCCACAGAACCTCAGTGTGGGACTGAGGGTGGAGACATTGGCTAAACTGCAAATTAGGGGGACAAAGCAGCCATGCATAGTGCCCAAACTCATTAAGCTTGCCTTTCTATTATTGTGAATAATAATAATCTTTCCCATAATCATCTCCTGCTTTCTGCCAGTTCTCTCTTCTCTTTGGACTGTTGTCCCCATTTCTAGATTCAGAAGAATCCATCATTCCTCGAGCAAATACACAACATATTCAGAAATATTCATAAATATGTAATGTCCAGCGTTTCCCCCACCTGGAATGCCCTTTAAGACTCAGATCCTGTCTAACAATACCAACATTTCTATCCTATACTCATCCCTTCCTGCTGCTCCGAATACACTTTACCTTCTGTAACCACTTACTCGGCTGCCTGGAATTCTTAGCTGAAAATAGTAAGTCTACATAGCCAATTTTCCCCCAGTCAACAGAAGACTCCCACATGTCAGAGTCTAAGTCTTTTATATTTTCATATCCCACATAACACCTATATAATGATGGACACTTAGTACATACTCCATAAATAGTTGCTGAATAACCAAAACAAACAGAGGAAGCAAACAAAGTAGAGTGATAAGAAAGCAGGGACTGATTGCATAATCTTCTCTAGTTTGTTACTTCAGTTGCTAAATTGA